CCTATTTTGCACATTTTAGGTACGATTTATTCGGAAAAATTTTGAGATGATGTCATCAATTTTTCGTAAGGGTTGAACAGATATCTTTCGAATAAAATTACCATGCTTACGATAACCTTAAAACCTCTGCAAGGTTTCAAAGCATTCGGATTTGCATATTCAAAGTTAAATTGCAAGATATTGTTAGATGAGATCGTGGTTCAGAGTACGTGATGCCTTTAAAAACTACGCGTGGACACTACTACCTAGTTAAAAAAACAAGAGTGTTCGGATGAGGAAACTAACACAATGAAATCGAACGGCATAAAATCGTCTAATAGTTCGAACTTTGTTATTATTTCTGACACCGAATTGACATTTCAGACATTCGCAACTCGCCTGAAAAACCCGTTGCGACTCCAACCCTAGGTCTAATAAACTTCGTGAATCCTATCAGTCACCCTAGCACGGCGTAATTAGTGTGCACAGGTGAAATGGCTGCTCTCCACTCATTATGGCCCGCGATAATTAATAGGAAAGCTTGTCATCGACATGTAAACCTATTGTCGTGTGTCAGGGCGGCAGCGTAATGAAGCAGCTTCCCGACATGACACCGTAGTAAGGAATTTCTCATCAGCAAAATTAATTCATAAATATATTACGAGCCTTTGACATTTTCTGAAACATCAGCGGTGAAACTTTGCTCCAGGGAGTGGATTTCGCCGGAAGAGTAATTGAAATATAACGTTTCATTTACGAGGAAAAACGAACTCTGCGATACCGCATTTTCCGCCAACCTCGAACTCGTAGTGGCGATTCTTACTCCAGTTTAATTCGTCGCTGTTGAACTTCCCGCGTCATACTTTCGCCGATTGTTCCCCCAAACATGCGAAAGTGCCATCCTTCACAAAAACCGCACTCTGATGGAGATGTACAAGACATCCATCTCGGCTTACCCGCCATCTTTCACTTCATTTCGGCCCAATCGGCTCGGCCCATTTAAATTGGACGCCGAGGGCCCAGATTAAACCCAACATGTACAGTACAACACGCAACATTTTGCTATCAAAATAAGAGCCGGGACTATTAAGAAGGCAACAAAGGACAACATTAATCAGGAGCTCCCCCGGCAACTTAATGATTTTCACAGTGAGCAAATTTAAGGAGATTTTGCCATTGGCGTCGGTATTATGCGCACATCACTGATGAAATTCGTTTATGTGTGTTGAATATCAGGAAGTTGTGGTGTAATTCAATTTAATTCTGTGGCAGTGGCTGATGTGAATAGCGACATTTTAGCCGGGATTGTGGATGGGAATTAATTTTTCGGCTTCGCAGGCGAGGGGAATTTTTTGGGGGCGGGGGCGGGGTCAGGTATTTCAGTAAATAAAATCGGGTAAAGGTTTGTTGTTGGTGCGGGCTTTCAGAAATTATGAAGCATAAAAAAGCGGGAAAGGGATTAAATGTAACCTGTTTTATTATATCGAAAAATTAGACCTAAGCCCGTTTTCTGAGTTCACATTTTTACTTTCTGAGCGTAAGCTAAGGAAGTATGGTAATCGAGTCTATCGGACGATTTGCTACTTTCATATTTTCTCGATGTTTCGTGACCTCTAGAGTACGGAAAAAGTAGTCTCCCGTTTCCGTGTGTCTGTCTGTCTGTCTTATGTTTGGCGCCTGTGTCGATTTTTCTTAGACACTAATGGTAATTTAGCTAATCATCCCCACCACCAATGGGATGACGTCATTACGAAATTTATAGTAAGACTTTCTTTTTAATTTTATAAAATAAGACGTTATGTAGGTACTCGTAGTTTCCAGAATTATTTATACAGGGTAAAATTACTTATATAAATATTAAAAAGAAAAACAAATCTTATAATTTTTCCAAAAAATTGGATTTATTACTTTGCACCAATTTTTTGATTCCAGGGTTTTTCGTTTTTCCTTTTTCTTCGATTTTCTGATATCAAAATTTTTAATCTTTTTAATTTCTTTAATTTTTCAATTTTTCCATTTTTCAGTGCTTCGATTTCATAATTTTCCGTTTTTCCAACTATAATTTTTTCAGTTTTTCAATTTCTGGACTTTCATTTTATCGATTTTTTTATTTATTTTCCTTATTTTTTTGATACTTTTTTTGATTTTATAATTTTTCGTTTGTTTAATTTTTTGAATTTTCAGTCTTTGATTGGATTAGACGGTTTTTTGATTTTTTAATTTTTCAATTTTGCAATTTTTGGATTTTTCATTTATCCGGTTTTCCAAATTTATTTAGTTTTCAATAATTCGAAATCGAAAGAAATTAATGAATCAAAAATTGGAAAGAAGAAAAAAACGAATAAAAAAATTGAGAAATTAAAAATCAAGAAACTGAAAAATCGAATGAAAATAAAAAAAAATTCAAATCCAATAACTGAAAATTGGTAAAACTCTAAAATTCTAAAATTTTCCCATTTTTCAATTACTGGATTTTAATTTTTTTAAATTTTTATTCGATTTTTCGTTTTTTATATTTTGCAGTTTCTCGATATTTAATTTTTCAACTTGCCCGTAAAACTGAAAAAGTGAAAAATTTTAAAAATTATATTTACAATCACATTTAAAATGAAAATTTGAGAACTTTAGAATTTGAACGAACAAAAAAAAAACTAAAATTAAAAAACCGCGAATCGAAAAATTGAATAAAAATGAAAATTAAAAGTCGCAAAATTGAAAAAAAAATTGATGAAAAAAAAATTAAAAATTGCAAATCGAAATGTTCAAGAACCGAAAAATTAAAAAAATTAAAATCTGAGCATCGAAATCTCGAATAAATTGTGTAAATAAAAAATAAAAAAGTTAAAAGGGAAACTTTGAAGAAATGAGAAATTAAAGAAACGGAAAATTGAAAAATTTAATATTAAAAAAAAATGAAGCTAAATGAAAAATTGAAAAAATGAGAAATTAAAAAGAGAAAAATAGAAAAATTTAGAAATTGAAGTATCAAAAAAAAGAAAAAAAAATTAAAAATCAGAAATCGAAAAATTGAATTGACAAAAATTGAAAATTCGAGAAACTAAAAGATCTAAAATTAAAAAACCGAAAAATTAAAAAGTCTATAAATTCAAAATTAAAAGATTCTACAATGAGAAAAAAAAATGAGAACTTTGGAAAACTGGAAAATTGAAAAAAATAAGGAAATACAAATTGCAAATCCAAAAATTAAAGCATTGAAAAATTGAAAAATCTAAATATTGAATAATTATAAATTGAAAATTCCAGAGAATTCGAAGTCTTAAATTAAAGGAACAAAAAAAAGTGAAAAATTGGAAAAGTGCAAAGCGGAAAAAAAATAAAATCTGAACATCAAAAACTCGAAAAATTGTATAAATAAAGAAAATTAGAAAGGGACAAGAAAAATTTGAAGAAATGAAAAATTAAAAGAGTGAAAAATTAAAAAATTAAAAATTTAAGCAACGAAAAAAAAAATAAAAATTAAGAAGTCGCAAGAAAGAACAAAAATTAAAAATCCAGAAACAGAAAAAGATTGAAAAACTGAAAAATAAAAAAGTATAAAAATTGATAAATTGAAACATTCCACTTTGAAAACGAAAAATTATAAAATCAGGACAATGGAAATCCTAAAAATTGAAACAATGAAGAAAATACAAACTACAAATCAACAAATTGAAGCAATGAAAAATTGAAAAATCGAAAAATCGAATAATTAAAAATTGAAAACTCGTGAAATTCCAAATCGAAAAACTGGAAAATTTAAAAGTTGAAACATTCAGGAGTTAGAATAAATCGAAAAAATTGAAAACGTTAAAATGCAAACTCAAAGTCGTAAAACTAGAGGAGCAAAACAATTAAAAACTGCAAAAGAAAAGAACACCGAAAACTCGAAAAACTGTAGAAATAAAAATAATAAAAAATCTAAAAATTGAAATGTAAAAAAATTAAGAAACTATAAATTGTAAATCCATAAACTGAAGCAATGAAAAATTGAAAAATCGAAATGATAATAATAATAATGATAATAATAATTTATTTCCAGCAGACTACAATTCTATAGTGAAACATAGCACTAATAAGCAACTAAATAATGAAGTCTAACTCAAATTCTAATTACTAATAAAATTAATAATGAGCAAATAGGAAGAATAAAATGAAAATAAATAAGAGGGATATATCATAAATGTAGCAATTTAATTTTCATCTTAGCAGAAGTGAAATTATCATAAAATATATCAATGTTGTGAGCTATTCTAGGTATAATTATAAAATCGGAGTATTGAAAACTCGAAAAATTGTAAAAATAAAGAAAATAAAAAATCGTAATGAAAAATGAAAATTTGAAAAAGAACCGAAAAACTGAAAAATTCAAAATTGAAAACTCGGGAAATTATAAATGGGAAATGAAGAAACAAAAAAAATGAAAAATTGAAAAATCACAAATCAAAAAATTGTAGTAACGGAAAATTGAAAAAAAAAATCAATAAACAAAAGATTGTAAAATATAAATATAGAGAAATCGAATAATTGAAAAATAAAGGAAAAAAATTGAGTAATTAAAATTTAAAAACTTTAAAATAGAAAAATTGCAAAGTCTACAAACTGGAAAATTCGAAAGTTAGGGAATCGAAAAACTGAAAAATTTAAACATATAAACTCGAAAAAGAAGAAACAAACAAAGTGAAAAATTGAAGAAATTCAAGTCAAAAAGGCTGCGGGAGTGATATTTACGCCACTGGTTTTCACTTTATACAGGTTATCGGAAATTAAAATTTCCAAAAATCTTAATAACATTTCAAAGAAGCGGGCGGCACTTCAGAGGTAAGGAAGGTTCTCTCGAAATAACCGTCGACCAATTTTCTTTTATTCTATCGCGTTACAACAGTAGTTTGCGTTCTCCCTGCCACCGAAATCTGCGGAACGTAACCCGTTTCAGCCCTCGCCCGCCACACCAACAATGATTAATCTTGCAACGTCTTCCCGTTCCTTGCAGCCCAGACTGATTGTTTTCTTCTTGTTTTCAGGGGAACATCCTGCAGCAATGCAGCACGGAGGGCAGCTTCGCCTCGAGTATCCCTTCTCGGCCTGCCTGCTCAGCGTGCTGGTGGCGGTGGCGGGCCCATAAACTCATCTCCGGGGAACAAACTCAAGAAGTCGAGGAAAAAGTCGCTGAAACGTGTGTAAATGTGTAAATAGTGCAGTGGTGGACGCCGCCCGGACAGGAGATTTAAGCACGAGGAGGAAGAATGAAGTGACGTTTGCGGTGCAGAAAGTTCGGACTTCCTGAATTCATTAATAATTCACCGGAAACGCTTCGCCCATCCACGGGTTTCAGAGACCGATTTCCATTACTGTTTAAGTGCTTTGAGCTCAAAATTTTGTAACACTAGTGTGGTGACGTGGACAATCGATGGACTTTCTTGTACTTTAGGTTTCCCAGTTACACGTTGTTGTAAATAACACAGTAATCATTGAGGGTTTTACTATGATTCAGATATTACATACGAGGTACTTATACGAGTTTTTTTCGACGTCCTTGATTATATAGTCGTTATGTAATGGTGAGTTTGTATATACTATTAGGGCCATATCTATACTTATTGATATATTGTACATTTATATGAGACTCTTAAGGGATATTGTTATTTTTTTAAAGGAAATCTATTCATTGTAGGGATGATTCACGTTGTTCTTGTTTCTTGTATCTCACAGTTTATTAGGTTAACACTGGTCGTTACGTTTGGTCTATTTTTGAGGTTGTCATTGATGAAAATTTGATGTTTCTTAAAAATGTTGTTAAAATGTAATAAAAACATCTCAATAAAATCCACTAAAATGCAAGCTGGCTTCTATTATTTATAATTTATAAACAAAAAAAGAAGAATAAAAAAAATACATACTGTTACGTTGAATGGGCAATTAAAATCGGCGTGGGTGAAACTCAACAATTTATTTCTTAATAACTCGAATTTACACGATTGATTGCACAGCGATTATGTACAAAATAATTCCGGCGCAACTTGGCTAGACTCTGTCTTCACTGGACCAACTGAATGCTCCTTGTTCCCGATGGTGGCATCTATTTAAAAGTATACGTTTCTCTAGATGGATCGAGAACGCCGCTTCGAGGTTTTTCTGGGTTGCCGTCGCGACTTCCACTTCCAGGCTCTTGGCCCATAGGCGTCGTACCGGGGCGGCGTATGGGTTTATTTAGTAATAATGTTTATAAAGAATTATGCGCTTTAGATTTTCGTGATCTTAAGGCATAACAAAGAAGTTCAGTTTCCTAGGAACATTATAAAACTGGATTTTAGGAATTTTGTTTTTTATAAGTTCTCCATAATTGTTAAAAAAAAAATAAAGTTCAATTAACAAACCACAGGTAAGGAAGTATATTTTGCTTTTTTAAATAAATATATGTATATATCTTCTAAGCTAGCTTAGCTATATCTAGCTTAGGAAGTATTGTAAAAGGATACATTGAGTGAATGTCTACTTTATTGTTTTCTCGACGTTTCATGATGCCTAAAGTACGAGATAATATGTCCCTGTTATTTGTCTTGAAGATTTTCATTAGACAAAAAATCTAGAAAACTACTTGACCGATTGTTGTCTTTTTCTAATCATCCCCACAACAACTTAGGAATGTTCTCTCATCATTTTGCTCGGTAAAGTTTGTCTAAATTTTACAAAACAATATTATTATGTACTTGTGCTTTATGAGTCTGCCTTGATTTTATCATTATTGCCCTTTGTCTTTTACATTTTTTTTTTGTTAAATATTCATTTTAGACAATTTTTTGATCATTTTCGAAATTATTCAATTATCATTTTTTTTTTGAATTGCCTATCAAAATATGGAAACTTTTGGATTTCTCGTAATAAATTGAATTCCAAGGAAAATTGTGCTCCGGGACCACAAGCAAGCCATATATTTCTAGTTAGCACGTCGAAATCTACGTCTTACAATTTTTTGCCGATTTTTAGGTGACTTTTTCAAAATCAAAATTTTTCTATACCTCTTTGTTGACAATTTTCGAAATTTACCTGAAGACATTTTCTTGTAGTTTTCGACATCCAGAAGTTACTTTGGAGCTCGTTCCTTGGATAACTCCGACTATTTTTTCAGAATCGCCTATTGAAATACGGAAATTTTTGATTTTTGGAAAAAATTTAGTTCCAAAGGGAATATTTTTAAAACCATACACCGGGACCACTAAAAAACCATATTTACGAATCAGCACGTCGAAATCTATATCTCAGGATTTTTTGAAGATCTTTAGGCAACTTTTTCAAAATCAAAATTTTTCCATACTTCGTTTTTTGACTATTTTTTAAATTTACCTAAATACATTTTCTTGTCGTTTTCGACATCCGGAAATTATTTCGAGCTCCTTTCTTCGATAACTACGACCGTTTTTTCAGAATCGCCAATCGAAATATCGAAAATTTGGATTTTTCGTAAAAATTGTATTCGAAAGGGAATATTTCTGAAACTATGACCTGGGAGAACAAACAAGACATATTTTTCGAATCAGCACGTGGAAATGTGCATCCCAGAATTTTTTCGGGATTTTTAGGTGACTTTCTCAAAATCAAATTTTCGACTGTTTGTCGACAATTTTCAAAATTTACCCAAAAATATTTTCTTGTAGTTTTCAACATCCAGAAGTTACTTTCGAACTCGTTTCTTGGATAACTCCGAGTATTTTTTCAGAATCGCCAATTGAAATATGGAAATTTTTGGATTTTTCATAAAACCTAAATGTTAATGCGAATATTTCTAAAAGCATGGTCTGGGACCGCAAACAAGCCATATTTTACGAATCAGCACGTCGAAATCTATATCTCAGAATTTTTTGGGGATTTTTAGGCGACTTTTTCAAAATCAAAATTTTCCATACATTCTTAGGATATTTTCGACCGTTTTTTGATATCTCTCGAAATTTACCTAAAAACATCTTCTTGTAGTTTTCGACATCCAGAAATTATTTTCGAGCTCGTTTCTTCGATAACTCCTATTATTTTTTCAGAATTGCCAATCGAAATATGGAAATTTTTGGATTTTTCCTAAAAATTGAATTCCAAAGGGAATATTCCTAAAACTACGAATCGGGACAACAAAAAAAACCATATTTTACGAATCAGCACGTCGAAATCTACATCTCAGAATTTCTTGTGGACTTTTAGGAGATTTTTTCAAAATCAAAATTTTCCATACAGTGTTAGGATATTTTCGACCGTTTTTTGATATCTCTCGAAATTTACCTGAAAACATTTTCTTGTAGTTTTCGACATCCAGAAATTATTTTTGAGCTCGTTTCTTCGATAACGCGGACCTTTTTTTCAGAATCGAAAATGGAAATATGAGCATTTTTGGATTTTTCCTAAAATTTGAATTCCGAAGGAAATATTCCCAAAACGATGAATCGGGACAACAGAAAAGCCATATTGTACGAATCAGCACGTCGAAATCTACATCTCAGAATTTTTTGCGGATTTTTAGGCGACTTTTTCAAAATAACAATTTTCCATACATTCTTAGGATATTTTCGACCGTTTTTTGATATCTCTCCAAATTTACCTAAAAACATTTTCTTGTAGTTTTTCACATCCAGAAATATTTTTTGAGTTCGTTTCTTCGATAACATCGACCGTTTTTTTAGAATCGCCAATCAAAATATGAACATTTTTGGATTTTTCCTAAAATTTGAATTCCAAAGGAATATTTTTAAAATTATAAATGGGGACAACAGAAAGACCATAGTTGACGAATCAGCACGTCGAAATCTACGTCCCAGAATTTTTTGCGGATTTCTAGGCGACATTTGCAAAATCAAAATTTTTCCATACCTTATGAGCGTATGACATTTCCGACAGTTTTTTGATAATTGTCGAAATTTACGTAAAGACACTTTCTTGTACTTTTCGACATCCAGAAATTATTTTCGAGTTCGTTTATTCGATAACTGTGACCATCTTTTCAGAATTGCCAATCGAAAAATGAAAATTTTTGGATTTTTCTTAAAAATTGAATTTCAAAGTGAATATTTCTAAAACCATGCCCCAAGACAACGAACAAGTCATATTTTACGAATCCTCACGTCGAAATCTTCATCCCAGAATTTTTTGAGGATTTCTAGGCGACTTTTTTAAAATCAAAATTTTTCTCCCACTTGTGAATTTCGACAGATTTTTGTCAATATTCGAAATTTACCTAAAGACATTTTCTTGTGGTTTTCGACATCCAGAAATTATTTTTGAGTTCATTTCTTCGATAGCTTTGACCATTTTTTCAGAATCGCCACTGGAAATATGAAAATTTTTTAATTTTTCGTAAAAATTGAATTCCAAAGGAAATATTTCTAGAACCATGCTCGGGACAACAAACAAGTCATATTTTACGAATCAGCACGTAGAAATCTTCATCCCAGAATTATTTGCGAATTTTTAGGCGACTTTTTTAAAATCAAAATTTTTCTCCCCCTTGTGACAATTTCGACCGTTTTTTGTCAATTTTTTAAATTTACCTAAAGGCATTTTCTTGTGGTTTTCGACATCCAGAAATTATTTTTGAGCTCGTTTCTGCGATAACTTTGACCATTTTTTCAGAATCGCCATTAGAAGTATGGAAATTTTTGGATTTTTCGTAAAAATTGAACTCCAAAAGAAATATTTCTAGAACTATGCCCCAAGACAACGAATAAGTCATATTTTACGAATCGTCACATCGAAATATACATCCCAGAAGTTTTTACGGATTTTTAGGCGACTTTTTTAAAATCAAAATTTTTCTCCCCTTTGTGACAGTTTCGACCGTTTTTTGACATTTTTCGAAATTTACCTAAAGACATTTTATTGTGGTTTTCGACATCCAGAAATTATTTTTGAGCTCGTTTCTTTGATAACTCTGACCATTTTTTCAGAATCGCCAATTGAATGTGGAAATTTTTGGATATTTCGTAAAAATTTAATTTCAAAGTGAATATTTCTAAAACCAAGCCCCAAGGCAACGAACAAGTCATATTTTACGAATCGTCACATCGAAATCTACATCCCAGAATTTTTTGCGGATTTTTAGGCGACTTTTTTAAAATCAAAATTTTTCTCCCCCTTGTGACAGTTTCGACCGTTTTTGGCAATTTTCGAAATTTACCTAAAGACATTTTCTTGTGGTTTTCGACATTCAGAAATTATTTTTGAGCTCGTTTCTTCGATAACTGACCATTTTTTCAGAATCGCCACTGGAAATATGAAAATTTTTGGATTTCTCGTAAAAATTGTATTCCAAAGGAAATATTTCTAGAACCATGCCCCGGGACAACAAACAAGTCATATTTTACGAATCAGCACGTCGAAATCTTCATTCCAGAATTTTTTGGAGATTTTAAGGCGACTTTTTCAAAATCAAAATTGTTCTCCCCCTTGTGACAATTTCGACCGTTTTTTGACAATTTTCGAAATTTACCTAAAGACATTTTCTTGTGGTCTTCGACATCCAGAAATTATTTTTGAGCTCGTTTCTGCGATAACTTTGACCATTTTTTCAGAATCGCTACTGGAAATATGGAAATTTTTGGATTTTTCGTAAAAATTGAATTCCAAAGGAAATATTTCTAGAACCATGCCCCGGGACAACAAACAAGTCATATTTTACGACTCAGCACGTCGAAATCTACATCCCAGAATTTTTTGCAGATTTTTACGACTTTTTTAAAATCAAAATTTTTCTCCCCCTTTCGACCGTTTTTTGGCAATTTTCGAAATTTACATAAAGGTACTTTCTTGTGGTTTTTGACATCCAGAAATTATTTTTGAGCTCGTTTCTACGATAACT